CATGTATCCGAAAATCAGATAAGTGACAGAGGTTCCTCCGTAAGGTAACTAAAGCCATGCCATCAGATTCTCAGCTCCTCTTGAGTTACAACTATGTTAAAATACTAAAAAAAAAGAGAAAAAAGTGGTCAAATATATTAGAGCACAGTTCATTCAACATCAATGCTTATGAAACTAAGGATGAGTACCCAAAAGGAGTCATTCCCACTAAACATCTCCCACTCAAACATTAGTACCACGTTACTCAGATGTAAAAAAAGAACAAAATTGTGCCATTTGCAGATACTTGGATGGAACTAGAGACTGTTATACAGAGTGAAGTAAATCAGAGAGAAAAACAAATATCCTATATTAATGCATATATGCGGAATTTAAAAAATGGTATAGATGAACTTATTTGCAAAGCAGGAACAGAGACACAGACATAGAGAACAAGGGGGGAGGAGGGGTGGGGTAGATGGGGAGACTGGGATTGACATATAAACACTACTGATACTACATATAAAATAGATAACTAAAGACAGTGACTGTGGGCATGAAATTAAAAGACGCTTGCCCCTTGGAAGAAAAGCTATGTCAAACCTAGACAGTGTGTTAAAAAGCAGAGACATTACTTTGCCGACAAAGATCTGTATAGTCAAAGCTATGGTTTTTCCAGCAGTCATGTATGGATGTGAGATTTGGACCATAAGGAAGGTTGAATGCCAAAGAATTGATGCTTTTGAACTGTGCTGCTGGAGAAGAGTCTTGAGAGTCCCTTGGACAGCAAGGAGATCAAACCAGTCAACCCTCAAGAAACTCAACCCTGAATATTCATTGGAAAGACTGATGCTGAAACTGAAGCTCCAATCCTGTGGCCACCTGATGCAAAAAGCCAACTCACTGGAAAAGAACCTGATGCTGGGAAAGATTGAAAGCAAAAGGAGAAGAGGACGACAGAGGATGAGATGGTTGGATGGCATCACCGACTCAATGGACATGAGTTTGAGCAAACTCCAGGAGAAGGTGAAGGAAGGGGAAACCTGGTGTGCTGTAAGCCATGGAGTCACAGTGCCTGACATGACTGAGTGACTGAACAACAATAACAAATGAGAACCTCCTGTAAGCACAGGGAACTCTACTCAGGGCTCTGTGGTGACCTAAACGGGAAGGAAATCCAAAGAAGAGAGGATGTGTGTATACATGTGTCTGATTCACTTTCTTGTATAGCAGAAACTAACACAATATATAGTTGTAAACTAACACAAAATAGTTGTAAGGCAACACCTATACTGCAATGAAAACAAACAACAGCAAAAGGCCTAAGTACCAGAAGAGTGACTCTGCAACCTAGAGCTTAGAATTGAAACTGTTTACCTCAGACTGGGACTCGAACTCACATGGCCGGACTCGAACCCAGCCAAAACCCTGCTTGGGACTTCAACCCACGTGGTTGCGATTGCAACCTAGCCAAAACCCTGCCTGGGACTTCAACCCACGTGGCTGGGATTCCAACCTAGCCAAAACCCTGCTTGGGACTTGAACCCACATGGCTGGGACTCCAACCTAGCCAAAGCCCACAGTACCTGGTTTCAGGACCTAATGAAGCTCAAGTTCTTGATGAATTCAGTGAGACAAAGTGATAGGTAAGAAGTGGATTTACTCAGATACAGAGAGAAGCACACTCCATGGAATATGGGTCATCGCAGAGGGTGAATGTGGCTGCGAAATTAGGTGTGGTTAGTTTTTATAGGCTGGGTAATTTCATAGCTAATGAGTGGGAGGATTATTCCAACTATTTTTAGGACGGTGTGGAGATTTCCAAGATGTTACAGAAAAGCGGTTGGATCTCATAATCATCGCTATCATTTGCCAGGCAATGTTATGTTTAATTCTCCCAACAACACAATGAACTAAGTACTTTAACGTCATCTTAGAAATGAGGAAACCGAAGCACAGAGATCTCACGTTCTCCAGTTCACACAGCTAGTAAGCGGCTGAGCCAGACTTCATCTTGGGTAGTCTGGTTCCTACGCACGCCTCCTATGTGTTGGCTGAGGCAAAGAATTGCACTTGGTGCAACGTCCTCAAAACACACAACTGAAGTGATCGTTAATTCACACGGCAAGGGTGAAAAGAGCAGCTTCAAGATCTCCGAGGGGTCGGTTTCCCCTCAGAGTTAGGATCTGGCACAAGGTCTAACTTTGCAGATGGAGGGGGGGAAAAAAATTAAAACGCTCATCAACGAAGGGGAAAGGTGGCCGGCCCGTCCACCCCTGACCAGCCCCGCTGTGGGAGACCCAGGAACGCGAGGGTGCGGGACAGCGGGGGACGGGGCGCCCGAAGGGGGAGCCGCGTCCTCTCTGGAGGGAGAGGACCTGACTGACCGGGCGCCCCCAAAACGAGCGCCGTGGAATCCTACGCTCACGCACCGGGAAGGGCGCGAACCGCGTCTGAAGAGCGGGACGGCGAGCCCGGGAACGAGAGTGAGGCCACGCACGCCGGGACAGCCAAGCCCACAGCCCGCCTGGATACCTACCGGACTCCGCGCACGCCGGGGTCCCAGCAACCCACGCGGCTCCGCAGCCTCACCGGCCTCCGTAACTCTCGCCCTTCACCGGAGGGGGCCTACGGTGCTCGAGCCAGGAAGGGGCGGGCGCCCCACGGCCAGGCGCGCGGTGATTGGCCTCAGCTCCTTTTCCCGAGCCTCCTTATTGGTCCCCGGCGCGAGGCGGTGTGCGCAGGCGCGGGAGCCGGGGCCTGCGGACCCTGAGCTTTTTCCTCGGCAGCCCGGCCGGATTCCTTCAGGTGAGTGTACCCAGCGGTCGCCGTTGCCAGATCTGGGCGATCGGCGGCGCCCTCCGCCTCCGTACTGCCGGCCCAGGCTGGACGCGCGCGGGGAGGAGGTCAGGACTCCAGCCTGGCAGGGCTAAGGGCGGGCTGCGCCGGGGACTCGGCCCTGCGCCCTCACCGTCGCCTCCCGGAGGCGCCGCGGGGCGTGCAGAACGGCGGAGCCGGTCCCGCAGGTCCTTGGCCGTTTCTTCTTCGGGGTCTGTGGTTCCGTACACTTTTCCTAGACGGGAGTCTAAGGGCACTTTGGGGCACCGGGTTATGGGGAGGGACGCGGGAGGCAGGGACGCGGGGGACGCGGACCAGCTGCACGCGCTGGTTCTCCGCCGCGACCTTGTCCTGCGGGTGCCGGGGACCCCACCCCCTGAGAAACGTGGGCTGCAAGTGCCTGCTCCGTAAGGTGGTTGAGGGGCCGAGGGTTTCACGCAGCGAGAATCTCGGACGGTGCCTGTGGCTCCTGCCAAGTGCCCCGGGTCCTTGGCTTGGATAGTGTTTGAAGCCCTTTCCATCACTGCGCTGTCGTGCTTCTGGATGAGCTCCATGTGTAGTGTCAGCGTGTCGTCCCCTTACCCATTTATCAAGAGTTAGAAAGAAGAAAGATAGCGCTCAATCGTGTCCGACTCTTGCGATCCCATGGACTGTAGCCCGCCAGGCTCCTCCGTCCGTGGGATTTTCCAGATAAGAATACTGGAGTGGGTTGCTATTTCCTTCTCCAGGGGATCTTCGCGACCCAGCAATTGAACCCAGGTCTCCCGCAATTGCAGGCAGATGCTTTACCGACTGAGCTATGCGGGAAGCTTTTTTTTTTTTTTTTCAATCCAGAGTTAACCTCTTGCGTACCCGCTGTGTCCAGCGCTGTTTTGTTCCACAGGTTGTTCCCTGCTTTTAGCATCCTGCTTGTTAATACTGTGCTTTTACCTTTTAATTCCTTCGTGTCTTTAAGTTGTCCTCAGATCTAATTGGCCAGAGGAGCAAAAAAGTATCTGCGGTTCGTTCCCCAAAAACCAAGTTTGGGGTTTGAGTTTCAGTTTGCCCTGCGTGCTTAAATCGCTTCAGTCGTGTCCTACTCATTGTGACCCCATGGATTGTAGCCTGCCAGGCTTGGCAACCCAGTCCAGTATTCTTGCCTGTAGAATCTCATGGGCAGAGGAGCCTAGTAGAAGTAGTTTAGTTGCTAAGTCGTGTCCGACTTTTGCGACCCCATAGACAGTAGCCTGCCAGGCTCCTCTGTCCATGGGATTCTCCAGGCAAGAATACTGGAGTGGGTTGCCATGCCCTCCTCCAGAGAATCTTCCCAACCCAGCGATCTAACCGGGTGTCTCTTTTATCTCTTGGGTTGGCAGGCGGGTTCTTTACCAGTGGGAATCCTGAATCCTTACGTATTGACAGTCTGTCAGGTTTAGACACTTGAGGTGTGGTGAAAAATCTGTGAGCCCTTTATTTTACTCCTGGTTATCTGTTCAGGAAAAAACATAAAACTAGTAAAAGATTTGAGTGGATTAAAAGTGTTTCTCTCTGTTTAGGTATGTAAGGTATGTAATGTAAGGTATGTAGGTATGTAAGTATGTCTACACATGCATGCAGATGTATATGATATTGAATTAAATAAGAAAGGTATTAACTAGAGTACTGTGATTTATTTAGCATTGGGATCAAGTAGGAATCAATTTTAATCGCGTTTTTTACCATTTTAGTGAATTTTTAACTTTACCTTTTTTTGAGAGAGCAAAGGTATCTGAAATTTATTGGACACTGCTGTGTGTCTCACCATTGTCTTTGTCAGGTAGGTACTGTCATTGTCCCCACTCTAAAGGTGAGACAACCAAGAGACTGGTCAGTTGAGAAGCTGGCCTGAAGTTCCCCTCCTGTGAATGGTCACTCCTGGCTGGATTCAAGCCCCGGTAGTCTGGCCCCAGAATCTGATTTCTGAGCTGTGGCATTAGAGCTTTCCTTGTATTGGCCTTGATTTCATGAATACTCTCTTAGACCTTAAGAATTAATGCTAAAAAAGTTAGTAAGCCTGTTTCATATTATCCCTGGATATTGTTGCAGTCTTTAATTAAGAAAGTTAATACCTGCAGGTTGTTACTTCTCCATTAAAAAGGGAAATCCCTTTTTCCCTTTCCATTTTACAGTGTAACTATTACAGCTGTACCATATGCCTTGAGGTGATGAGGAGGTTTTTGTTACTCTATGCTACCCAACGAGGACAGGCAAAGGCCATAGCAGAAGAAATAAGTGAAAAAGCAGTTACGTATGGTTTTTCTGCAGATCTCTACTGTATTAGTGAGTCGGATAAGGTAAGTCATGGTTTTTACTGTGTTTCATGCTTTGAAGTGTTTTGCTTGGGAATTTATGTTAAAAAACAAAGTGGGACCCTAAATGCCACCATGATCCCTTTTTTGTTTTTTTAAACACTTAGAAATTCATTTTATCAACTGTGTTATAAGACTTCTGCCAATTTTTTTCTCTCTCTGTGTGTGAAATTAAACTATGTGGTCTTAAAAATTAGGATGACTAACCGTTCTCAACTATAAATGGAACTAGCATGTTTGCCTTGTTTTTCTCACTGGGTACCTGGGAACAAATGAGGTGTGTGTGTGTTTACAGGAACATGTGAGCTTTCCACCTTGTGAGTCCTGGTGCCCTATACAAACTTCCCTGAAATAATGACCTTGTCATTCATGCCAGAGTTCTTCCAAGTGCAGAACCACTGAATTCTTTTGTGAAGATAGAATTTAGAGTGAAGGTGTAGGATCTGCAGGAGACTTGGGGACTGCTTATGTCTCTGTATTCAGTCTCTGCAGAAGTTCCCACCTTAGGATTGTTGTTATTGTTGTTCAGGCGCTATGTCGTGTCCCTCTGTTGGCGACCCTGTGTCTTCCACTACCTCCCGGAGTTTGTTCAGACTTGTGTTCACTGAGTTGTTTACATGAGATCTTAACAGATCTGTGCTTAGAATACCTAGTCTGACTGAGGTTATAGTCTCATGCATTTCAGGCCTTAGGGCATGGCAGCCCACTTCAGTATTCTTGTCTGGAGGATCCCATGGACAGAGGAGCCTGGCGGGCTACAGTCCGTGGGGTTTCAGAGAGTTGGACACGACTAAGCGACTAACACTCACTTAGGCTTGAGGCACGAGCAGGGCTCTTATAACACCCCTGGTGAGGTGCCAGCCACTAAGTCCTCGGATTCAGCTCAGTACTTGAAAAACCACCCGGCCATGCACTCTGGCTCCAGTTCACAACCTCCTCTGTTCCTTCCCACATGTCTGATTGGAAAGACTAGCCTGTCAGCCACAGAGGTGAATTATAAGCTTAGCTCCTAGAGGGGAAACCACCAAGTTCCTTGATGTAGCAGGGCCAGGCGGAGTCCCGATGGAGCCACTCACCCAGCCGGGAGGGTCCTGGGGCACTGCCAGTCATGGGCTCCATGATCCTGCAGCACATTCAGAGTGAGGTGTGGGGCCACAGGATGGAGCTCCATCCAAATCTGTTATTAAGCCCAGAGACAGAGTTGGCAGCATCACACAACTAGCCCTGACGGGGCCAGCAGCTCTTTGAAAAGTTAAGTGAGCAGTGAGTTGTTTTTTGATCCCACAGTAGTCATGTTGTTTGCTTTCCTCAGCTGAATGGTTTCTTCAGTTCTTCCTCATCCAAGTTTAACCTGATTGCTCTCTGCCCTCCTCAATCACAGTCAAGTCTTTTTCAAGATAAAGCCACTCACCGTAAACTGCAGAGTTCTGTCCCATAAGTGTTGGACACCTGGTAAAATGTTAGCTCAAATCTTCACCTGTTAGCTCAGCATGAAAAATAAAGCGAATACCTCGGAGCCCAGTGAGATGATATTCATCGATAGTAGAGCTCATGATTGTGAATAGAGAGAGTGAAGTGCTTTATTGGGAGTACTTAAATTTAGGTGAGAGTTAGAATAAGGAAACGTGAATTTTAAGACTTGGAAACCCCAGTGATCCCAGAATTCCATATTCTTGGCTCTCTGGAACCCTGAGGGGGTTGGGCCCTTCCTGATAGCTAGGTTTCCTGATGTCTGAGGAGTAATACTTTCACTTTGCCGATTTAAAATGCTCTTGTGTTCCTGTCTGCCATTACACGGCACAGACGACAGTACAGAAGATGAAGCTGATTGTTTTGCTGATGTGTTAAGTCTATTGCTGCTGTTGCTAAGTCGCTTCAGTCGTGTCCGACTCTGTGCGACCCCATAGACGGCAGCCCACCAGGCTCCGCCGCCCCTGGGATTCTCCAGGCAAGAACACTGGAGTGGGTTGCCATTTCCTTCTCCAATGCATGAAAGTGAAAAGTGAAAGTGAAGTCGCTCAGTCGTGTCCGACTCTTTGTGACCCCATGGACTGCAGCCTACCAGGCTCCTCCGTCCATGGGATTTTCCAGGCAAGAGTACTGGAGTGGGGTGCCATTGCCTTCTCCATGTTAAGTCTACATAGCAGTAGATCTCTGACGTGACACCCTTGTTTTATAGTATGATCTGAAAACTGAAACAGCACCTCTTGTGATGGTGGTTTCTACCACGGGCAACGGAGACCCGCCTGACACAGCCCGCAAGTTTGTTAAAGCCATACAGGACAAGACGCTGCCACCTGACTTCCTGGCTCACCTGCGGTATGGATTACTAGGTGTGGACTGCGTTTTGTGTAGTTACTAGAGTGTTACTGCTGGCTTAGCGCTAGTATCTAAATGTGTTTTTCAAAACCATGGTGCATCATTGTATAGATTTTGTCTTCCTTGGGTTTTTATTTGTTTTATGTGTGTGTAACATTTGAGGGTAAACAAGGTGCTATTTCCTAGCCATCACCCCCAGCAGCTCCTCTGCAGAGCCCCAGAATAGCATCTTAACCTCGGGCGCACACCAGACTCAACTAGGAAATATTTTTGAAATGTAAGTGATTGGGCTCCACCCCAATTCTGCTAAAAACCCTGCATGCTGTGTGTTTTTTTTTTTTTTTCCTCAAAGTTCTTATGTGTCTGTGACAGCTTCCTTAGCAGATGACCATTCCCCTAGGATACTGGTTCTCTAGCCTGGGCACACACTAGCATCTGCTGGGAGTTTTCCTTCCAATGTCATTGCTTTGAGTGCCTCCCTCCCTGCCCCTCTCACACCACCCCCACCCCACTGTGATTCCGACTTAATCATTCTGAAGTAGGGTCCTGGGATCAGTATTTTTTATTTTTTTTTAGTTCTACCAGTTTATTGCTACCAACCCATCTCCGTCTACCCTCGTGCACACATGCTCAGTCATGTAACCCCATGGACTGCAGCCCACCAGGCTCCTCTGTCCGTGGGCTTTCCCAGGCAAGAATACTGGAATGGGCTGCCATTTCCTTCTCCAGGATCAGTGTTTTCTAAAGCTCTCAGGTGACTCTACTATGCACCCCAACTTAAAAAGCACTGGCCTAGGGTAGGGTCTGTGAAGAATAGCTTTAAAATATTAAAGGCTCAGAAGGACCAGCTCAGTGAGATAGTTGCACCAGAGAGGGAATTCAGGATCCATTTGCCTGGCTCGCACTCTCTGTTCTCCTTTGAGAGCAGTTTTGGGGAGGCTATCGAGAAAGGATGGAATGTATGATGATAAGTAACTGGATAGGGATTGAAATGATGAGCCTGGCCGAGATCTGTCATGTGTAGTGTATTCAAGAGAGCATTTTAGAATGTGTATAGCTTTTTAATTCAGTTTTTCCGATTTATTTATTTAGAAGAGTGAACATGTACATATTGGTTTAAAAATTCCTCAAAATTACTTAAAAGGAAAGACTGAAACCTTTTCGGCCATTTAGTCAATCTTAGGCCTGTGTATGGGCTGTATGGGCCCACCGATGGATTGCTCACCTTGTTCTTGTAGGAAAAATTCAGGGAGACAAACAAGTATGAAATTTAAGCTCTTAATTTTAAATTTTCAACGAAGTATGAAAGTGTTAGTCCATTTCTTACTAGGAAACACAGAAGCGATTCTTATATCCAACACAGAAACAGAGCAAATAAAAGGTTGTTTGTGTTTTGGATGTACCTCTTGTTTTAGATAAGGAGTCAGTAAACTCTATAAAAGACCAGATAGCAAACACTTCAGGCTTCATAAGTCACTGGTCTAACAACTATTCATCTCTGCTGTTGGAGCTTGAAAGCTGCCTTAACAAGGTGTGAACAGGTGGACCTGGCTGTGTTCCAATAAAACTTTATTTACAGAGACAGTGGATGGTAATTGCCTACAGGCTGTAGTTTGCAGACCCTGCAGTGGGATCAGAAAAGCCTGCAAATACAGACATTGCATGTTCTTATGAAAGGAGCAAAGGTTGTTTGCTCTTCAGCAAAGGTTGTTGCTGAGCTGTGAAAGTTGCCAGGATTCTTGGCTTCCAGAGAAGAATTCAATCTGGGGCCAGTGACGAGGCTTGATTGCTCAGAGCTTTTGTGTTATAAAGTTTTATTAAAGTATTAAAGAGATGGAGAAGGCTTCTGACATAGACATCAGAAGGGGGCAGAAAGAGTGCCCCCCCACTAGCCTTTAGCAGTAAGTTACATACCTATCAACAGGCTGCTAGTTAGAGAAAGGAGATGTCCCAAAACTCAGAGTGGCTCCAGGCCTCTCACCCACAACATGCATTTTGAGATAACATTGGCATCAGGTGAGTCATCCCGGGCCATAAAACGATTGACATGAATCTTGAAGAAAGGCAGGTTTCCAAGAAAATACACAGTTTCATTAACAGTTATAGATTAGGGGAACAGTGTATGAGTAGAACATAGAGGTTTGTTGAGCCCTTGTCATTCTAAGTCCTAAGAGGAAAGACTTGAAGAAAGACCAGAGCCCAAGGTAAATACATAGTTCATTAGCGTAGCTTGAGACAAACATTTCCGTAAGAAAACGCATTGGTTAGCTCAAGGTTTGAGAAAAGTTAAGTTCTGGTGGAGCCAGGTGTCGTCATGGCAACACAGAATTTTAAGAGAAAACTTTTTAAAAATTTGTATAGAGAAGGGGAAAAAATTTAACACTAGTATGTTTCCTCCTGCTGCTTAAGAGAGAGAGAAAAAGTGTCTGACGCTTGGAGCCTCTTCCTCCCTTTGGAGACCCCTGGCCTTCCTGCCTGTTACCCTTCCATTTAGTACGCTAATCCTTATTTTCAGATTACCATATTTTTACACAAATTCATGGAAACAAAAATGTGAGATATATTTCTGTTAGCAGTGGTCCAAAGTACTTGTTTTGTTTCTGTTTGCATAGTCAGTATTCCTCAAGGAAAAAATAATACAAAGCTGCACATTATTTCCTGTTACATCAAGAAGAGCTTTGAGTGGTGGTCTTCTGAATGTTTTGTTTCTCTCTTGTGTATGTGGTTAAATTTAAACCTTACTGCATGCTAATAACCCATTTGGACTCTAGGTCTGGGTGATTCAGAATACACGTACTTCTGTAACGGGGGGAAGGTAATTGATAAACGACTTCAGGAGCTTGGAGCCCAGCGTTTCTACAACACTGGCCACGCGGATGACTGTGTAGGGTAAGAGCAATGTATCTCTATCGTTTCCAGTAAACCATGTTTGTACATGATGTAAGTCACTTTACAAAAGGGGTTAATTTTTGAACTAGCATTAACTTTCAATCTTGAAAGTCCTATTTTAGTTTTGGGACCAAGGAAAATCCTTCAGAGCTTGATTTATCTGTTTGCTGATTTTTTTTTTTTTTAAGTGCCTCGTCCATCTCAGTGTCTGCTAATGGAAGACATTAGGCAGGTGGCCCAGTACAGTTACCTCAGGCTTAGAAATGTGCAGCTGTTTGCAAAAGTCATTGTTTTCTTTAGGAACTTGGAGAGCGAGTGCCTGCAGGGGAATGACTGGACTCTGGACCTCCCCGTGGAGGGCGGCCGGCTGCCCGCGTTACAGGCGCATTACGGGTGGAGACGGGGACCAGAGGCCTTCCCAGCACCCCAGCTCCTTGGGGCTCTCCCTCCCCATCTTCATGGTCATTTACCACCCTGCCCACCAGGAATGTAATTTCTATTTCATTAATTTGTTCTTGTTTTTACAGTTCAGTATTTCACCCTATGTGCCGCCTTACAAATCCTCTTAATGTGTTAATTCAAAGACCTTATAGAATTGTCCTTATTCTGTCATAACAGCACATGCACACACTTGATTTTTTTTTCTACTGGCTCTGTGTATTAAGTAAATCTCACCCACTAGATCTGGGCTTATGCCACATGACAAGTTCAGCAAAGGCTGTGCTTTTCTGCATATGCCGCCTTGCATGGGCATGTTGGAGACACTTCTGTTTGCCCGTAACTCACCTTTGTGAGTCCATACATGTCCATCATTTTCTGCAGCTGTGATGCTGTAAGTTTTTTTCCATTGCCCCAGGGCACATATCCTTTATGGTGACAGCTCCACCACATTGCCTTCCTGTTACCTTTCAGTTTTGTCTCGTATTGGGCTCTTTTTCCCATAAGAAACGTTGTTGACATTAAATGTTTATTGTCCTTTATGAACTGTTTAAATGCTAAACGCTTATAAATCTGTTAGTCCTATTGCTCAACTCATATTTTACTTCAGAGGCTTTTGATTTCACTATTGATTTATTGCATTGACCATTAAAATTCTTCAATGTATATTTTAGCAGCCTGCATCTCTAAAATTTTCAACCTAAGTACTCTTTTCTAAAATTAGAATATTTTCAAGGAGACATCTTGGCTTACTGTACCATCACATTGAAGGGGTTAAGAATGTAGACTGGAGTTCAAATACCTGCGTTCAGATCCTTGGTTTTCCCCACTTACTGGCTATGAAGCATTGCTCAAATTACTTAAACTTTTTGTGTCTTGGTGTTCCCCTTGTGAAATGGATCATAACAATATATATTGTTTAAGGTTCTTCGAAGCATCAAATGAATGAATAAAACTTGTTTTAGAACAACGTCCACCATATAGTGCATGCTCCATGGGCATGAGCTTTCTTTTAAGAGTATCACCGTATTAGTGTTTCTGAGCCGTGAGAATTGCGTTTTAAATGTAGCTGTCATCATTGAACCACTAATTCATGTGCTTGCCCTTCCAAATGCCCCTGAGGGGTGGGTGCACTGTGTCACCAAGCTCTGAACTATGTGCCACGTGAGCAGTAATGAATACGAAGAAAGTATAGCCAAAGTCTCGGTACGACAGAGGTCTAAAATGTGTCTCCTCTTGTCACTTAGCTCTATGAATTGGAACTTAATTGATCACGCATGGAGTTGTGATTGAAAATGACGGAGATGTCCTTCTCAAGGTCTTGATGCAGTACTTAGCCATTCACTCTGTGAACAGAGCATAGGGAATATTACTGTTGTCATACTTTGCCAGTAGTCAGTTTGTTATTTAGTTGCTAAGTCGTGTCCGACTCTTTTGCGACCCCAAGGACTGTAGTCTGCCAGGCTCCTCTGTCCATGGGATTTTCCTGGCAAGCATACTGGAGTGGGTTGCCATTTCTTTCTCCAGCCAGTAGATGAGCATATTTTACAATGTACTTATGGTTAATTCAGCTCTCCTAAAGTATGATTGAAGGGTTGAGCTATTAGTCAAAGAGCATTAATCTGGAGTGGGTTCTTGGTGGTATCTTAATCTGTAGGAAACAAAGATCAGTAAATTGGCTAGGCAAAAAAAGGTGGTGCATTTGATATAATTATCATTTATGATATTAGAGTAGACTTGGATCTTGGGTATGTTCAGTTAGCCTCATCAGATTTAGCATGCCTGTTTAAAATGACGTCTTCTTACAATATCAACTCTATTTTAGGAAGTTAAGTGGAATCAAACTCCTGTTACCTTTTACTAAATCATCTTCATTTTTGTTCTCTGACTTTTACGCATGTTCATACTTTTTTATAGCTCAGTGCTAATGAACACAGTAAAGTTTTGGTTTTTAGCTTAATCATAAGTATTTTTGTATTCTGAATAGCCTTCATGGTGAATGTTTCTGACAGTTGCACAGCATTCTGTCAAATGGACAGGCTCTCATGTTATCCTGTTGTTAAGTGTTTAAATGGAGAACTTAAGTGTTTTTTTTTTTTTTCTGTTTTTTTCCAACTCAGTTTAGAACTTGTGGTTGAGCCATGGATTAACGGACTCTGGGCCGCCCTCGAGAAGCATTTTCTATTGAACAGAGGAAGAGAGGATACAAGTGAAACTCTAACGATGGCATCTCATGCCTCCCAGAGGACAGATCCCTTGAAGCCGGAATTATTACATGTGGAATCACAAGTTGGACTTCTGAGATTAGATGATTCCAGAGGAAAGGCTGCTGAAGTTTTGGAACAAAATGCAGTGAACAGCAGTCAATCAAGTACTTTGATTGCAGACTTTGAGGCCTCGCTTACCTGTTCGGTACCCCCACTTTCACAAGCCTCTCTGAATATTCCTGCTTTACCACTGGAATATTTAGAGGTGCATCTGGAGGAGGCCCTTGGCCAGGTAAGCAATGATGTTGGTGGTGTTTTTTTGTTTTTTTTTTTTTGGTGTTTTTTTAAATTATATTATGGCAGAGGAACAAACTACGGCATGCTGGGTGAGTGTGGTCTACCATTTCTTGTGTAAATGAAGTTTTATTGGAACACAGCCATGCCCATCCAAGGCTGCTTCTGCACTGCAGTGGTGGAGTTGAGTCGCTTCCAAAGAGGCGTTACCTCCAAGTGTTACAGATATGCTTGTATTATTGCCTGGCTTCTCTTTGAAGAAGTAAATGGGTACGAGCTCAGTTTCTTCATTGCCTTGGAGAAGTAATGTCTTGCCTTCTTGCTTTAGATGTCAGTCAGGTAAGGATGAGTTGTGGGCAGTTAGGAAACCATCTCAGCAACTAATCTGAGTCAGGTACAGTGAGATCACTTTTCCAGTGTGGATCTTTGCTCTCCTGGGATACTCCATCTTAGGGGTTTTTCTTTCTCTTGGTAATATTTTATAGACCTGTTTTTGTCTGTTTAAGTCTTTTTTTCTATGCCTTGAGTATTTTTCCTATCAGTAAATAAATGACTTTAAAGTGGTCTGTACATTTCTGAGCATCAAGTTGAATAACAGCTGATATTACCCCACAATTGTCAGTATATGGTTCCCTGAAATTTCTTCCAACATGCTTGGAATGAGCTTCCAGGGCAGTCAATCTTGTGACGCCTAGCTGACCCCTCTGTGTTCAGAGGGAGTTCCATGTGGGCTTTCTCAGGTAAACTACACCCTTAACGCAACTGTCGTGGTTTCTGGTTTCTTCTTTTCCTTTTATTAAATGAGGAAAGACATTTGAGAAACAGTTTAATTCCAACTTTCTAGTTTATTTGAAAACTGTTTGCAAACACTTGATATGCATACCAGTGTTTTCACTGTCATATTTTTACAATGTTTTTCTAATGCATTCATATAAACAGGTAGGTTTTTATAGGACCTTCCCTGGGTTATTGTTTTCACACTCATGTTTCATTCTTTATTAAAAGGGATTATCACAATAAGTACCTCTTAGTCAGAATTGGGGACAGGTGCTGTGGCTGTGATAAACAAGCCAGGCAGGTGGGTTCAGGGTGGTGAGCCGGCCCTGGGTTTGCGCTGCAAGGATGAGTGTGTGTGGCAGGGGTGTCGATCTCTGATTGATCTGACAAGGTGCTTCACTTAGGATCTGCCTGAGAGTTTCTTTTATGATAGGTGTTATTAAATAGACTTGAGTTGTTGGTAATGTCTTCAAAAGTTTTTTAAAATCTCAACTATTTAACGGAAACTTTTGTAAATCTGTTTAAAGGATATACCTAGAGGATAAGGGATTGAGGAAAAAAGTTTCCTATTTTAGGGCCCTATCTTGGGATAACCCCCTTGGGGAGCGGGGCGGGTGGGGGAGGGGAGGATGGGCGCCGGGTTGGGCATAGCGGGAAGCTGAGCTTCAGTGCACGCGGGCTCAGTCACTTGATGGCTCGTAGCCCGCAGGCCAAGATTTCACTGTGGGGTTATGCTAACCGCCAGGTGAGCCACTGGGCCCTTTGAGCGAGACTCGGGCCAGGACTGTGGTCCCCCCCGGGCTCAGGCCTCGGGGCTGTGTGACCCAGCAGCTGCACCTGGCCGCTCTCCCGCGTCCCGCGTCCAGCGCTCCTTTCCCCCAGGACTCCGGTCCCCCCCGGGCTCAGGCCACGGGGCTGTGTGACCCAGCAGCCGCACCTGGCCGCTCTCCCCGTGTCCCGCGTCCAGCGCTCCTTTTTCCCAGGACTGTGGTCCCCCCGGGCTCAGGCCTCGGGGTTGTGTGACCCAGCAGCTGCACCTGGCCGCTCTCCCCGCGTCCCGCGTCCAGCGCTCCTTTTTCCCAGGACTGTGGTCCCCCCCGGGCTCAGGCCTCGGGGTTGTGTGACCCAGCAGCTGCACCTGGCCGCTCTCCCCGTGTCCCGCGTCCAGCGCTCCTTTCCCCCTGGGGCAGCATCAGTGCGGTTTCTGTGCCTCACGGAGTCGCTCCTCCTGGGGGCCTGCCTGCTCCTGCCATCGGGTGGGAGGGCTCCAGGTCTGACAGCTGGACAGCAGCTGGACAGAGGGCCTTGAGCGTTCATTAGGACAGCTTCCCGCTCATGGCTCATGATGTCTTGGTTTCTTTCCCTTGTGAGGACTGATCAGCGCCCTTGTCGGGCGCCCCTTCACTCTGATGCTCTGGAAGCCATGTGCTCGTCATTCTTGTTATTTCTGGGAGTTGGGCCCCTGGCCGCCCCCCAGCTTTTCTATGCACTGTGGTCCTTGTGCACACCCCTCCCCCCAGCGTTCCTGGCCAGGTGCTCCCGCCTCCCTCTGTCCTTGGTGCCCGCGGGCGGGGGGCAGTGTGGCTCTGGTTTTCCTGTTGCTGGGCGCCCACTTTGTGAGCTCTGGTCAGCAGGCAAGCTCAGTGGTGCTGCTGGCCCCCTAACCAGCGCGGGCCTGTTGGCCTTGGCAGTGCGGTGGTCTCTGGGCGCTCCAGGGAGCCCCTGTCAGCTGGTGGGTTTGGCCTTACGTGGTTTTGTCCATTCTGACAGGCCCTCTTTTCTGAGCTTTTCAATCCTGTCCTCAAATGTCTTGGCATTTCTGCCCCACTTAGCTTTTTCTTTGCTCTAGTTGCCCTGCTGTCCGTGTGTTTACGTCATCTCTGGGGTTCTGCCAGGGTGAGGAAAGCCTGTGTCCTGGGAGGGTGTCCCAGTTAGAAAGCCCTTCATCCAGACCTGTGGCCTGCCCCGCCTGCCCCGGGACCTCAGCCTTCTGTGTGGGGCACGCGTGTTCTGTTCTGTCGATGCATGTTGCTGGCCTGCCCTTTCTTTGGAGCCGGCCCAGCGCACGGGCAGCCAGGCCTGTCGCTTCTTAGCTGTGGTTCCGGCCCAGCAGCCAGGAGGAGGGGTAGGGTGGGGGTGGAGCCCCCGCGTGCCTAATGCGAGAGGGAGCCCTTGTCCTTATGGGAGGGGTGCCCCTTCCGGGCCGCCAGGGCTTGCCTCAGTCTCTCCCCCATTCCTCCCTGCCTCCCTGGCTTTCTCTGCCCTCAGGCTGCAGCTGGTGAGCGCTCATGTGTAAGCTACTGAGAGTGTCCTCTGGCTCTCACTGGTAGATTTTAGCTGTTGCCTCATTATTCTTGGCTTTTTGCATTTTTTCCAAAAGTGTCGGTGAAGCTTAGTCGTAGGCCTCCAGTCCCAGCGGCCCGATCGGTGCTGCTCCCTCCTTGTCCCGAGCACGTGTCACCAGGTATGTCCTCACTGCCAGTTGGGGCAGCCCTCCAGCGCCACATGCCCATTTTAGCGACTTTCTCGGGCCACTCTGGCCTGGCTGTCGAGGCTGGGTTCCTGGGAATCACTGTGAGATGATCTTCGGGCCCTCGTCCTCATCCCGGGATGTCAGGGGGCAGGAGCTGGCCGGGGCACAGGAGAAGCTGAGCTGCAGGGTGCTCTGAAGCCGGGCGGCCCTTCAGGGTTGCTGCGAGCTGTGCAAGGGGCTGGGCTGTACAGCCGCTGATGAGTCTTTGGATGGGGCGGCCTCTAGATGGAGGTGTGACCTTCAGTGCTCAGGGGTCACTCGGAGGTGACGGCGAGGGGCTGGGGGCCCGCTGTGAGCGCTGCCGGCAGCCCTGCCGAAGGCCGTGCCCCCGTCCCCGTCACTACAACTCTCAGACCTCAGCCCTGGCCTTCTGCCCGGCCTTCCCACATAGCCACTCATCCACAGTTAACTGACCAGCACTTTCCGAGATGTAAGTTTCTATTTTTATTAGAACTTAGGATCATCAGGTTATGAATCTGCTGAGGTAGGACCAAGATTTGGGTTTCTTTCTAGTTTCCGAAGGCCTGTATTGTCTAATTTTACCTGCGTGTTGCTACTATTAATTAATGAAAATTAAATTAAGAATTCAGTGCTTGAGTCGCACCAGCCATGTTTCCAGTGCCCAGTGGTCAGGCATCGGCCAGTGAGGTCATGGAGCATCCCCGCCGTCCAGAAAGCTCTGTGGGACAGCACCGCCCGCCACTCTGAGGGCTCTCGTCACCATCTGTGCAAACAGCTCCTGACCGTGAACATCTGTCACTCCTTTAGAATCTCCTTCTGAAGTGTGCACACACACTATTTCTTTTTGCATAGTTCATTAGGAAGACTGTTAGACCTTTCAATGGAAAGTGCTAGTATCTGATGTTTCCCATATAATCTCAGAAATTTTAGTCTGGTAGACAAGGAGTTTAAAATATAGATGAGCTTCTCTTCTGAAAGATTGAGAGGCCTGTCTGTAGGCATTTACCTTAGAGAAGAATTCTGAAATCTCACCAGGGGGTGTTGAAAGATCCTGTAGCTCTGATGTTGCCGCCAAATGAAGCAGTGGTAAGTATAATTGAAAATCACGTTTCATAGCACTTTACCACATTTCTTTCTCAAGGAGGAAAGCCACGCATCTGTGAGTTCGGTGGATCCAGTGTTTCACGTTCCAATTTCAAAGGCAGTTCAACTGACTACAAATGATGCCATAAAAACCACTCTTCTGATAGAACTGGACGTTTCGGTGAGTTCCAGAATGTGTTTCTGAGCACAGGGATGTTGTCAGTCAGCGCGGAGGCTGACCTGTGGTGTGTCCTCACCCACACAGGCCGGAAGAAGGAGGTGCTGGCTGGACAGCACCAGCCACCTGGCCTGTCATGTTCATTCCTGACCCGTCATTTTATCTCTCCATCTCATCCCTGTTTTCTTTCCACTTCAAGGAGGGGCTGAGATGAGGAGTGACTGGAGGTGATTCCACTTGGAAAGAGTAGTGTTGCTGCCTTGCTCATTAAGCCACGAAAGAGTAATGGAATCAGGACAGCACTGGCATATAGGAGCCCCAGGCAAGGAAGCTGAGGTCAGCGGCCAGGGAAGTTGAGCCCAGGCTAGCCCGTCGTGTGACGGTCACTTCTCAGAGTGGTGGTCCGTGTTCCTTTGAGAACCTGGGAGAAGTCCTGGACCCCCCTCTCCAGAAGAAGGATTATATATAAGCATTTTGCACACAGTTTTAGGGGGTTTCTGTGCTGGCTCTCGGGGTCCCCATCCATAGGCCTGCCCCAGCCGCCGCCCCAGCCGCTGGCCTCAGGTGGGAAGCCGTGACTGGACCTGCCACAGTCGTGCAGCTCAGCCCTGGATGCGGGTCCTGTGGAGCTCAGTGGGCTGGACTTTCAGAAAAGACTGTGTCAAGGCTGTTGGTGGAGGTTTAGTTGAATTTCTAATAGAAAAAAGAAATATGGGAGGCAGCAAAATTGGAAGGTTTTGCTTACATGCTGTTGTTCTGTTCAGTCGCTAAGCTGTGTCTGACTCTTTGTGACCCCATGGACTGCAGCACTCCAGGCTTCCCTGTCCTTCACTGTCTCCTGGAGCTTGATCAAACTCATGTCCGTTGAGTCGGTTGGTGATGCTCCCTAGCGATCTCATCCTCTGCTGCCCCCTTCTCCTTTTGCCTTTAATCTTTCTCAGCTTCCAGGTCTTTTCCAATAAGTCAGCTCTTTGCATCAGGTGGCCAAAGTATTGGAACTTTAGCATCAGTCCTTGCAAGTGAATATTCAGGGTTGATTTCCTTTCAGATTGACTGGTTTGATCTCCTTGCAGTCCAAGGGACTCTCATACTACTGAGTAATTCTATTTTCTTTTGAACATTTTTATCCCTACTGTTAAATATCCTGTATACATGAAAGCATTTCACTTCTGTTACACACTTTTGTCATAAAGAGGTGAGATTTGGCCGACTGGTGGGTCTGGTCTGTGTCTGTGTCCCGCACAGGCTAGGGGTGTGGGCATGTGTGGTCAGAAGCCCCTTCCCAGAGCCCTCCACACCCTCACCCACTCTGCAGAGTGCGTAGACCTGCTGTGGGAGGTGGCTCCACTCGGAGCCTGGGTCTGTGCACAGCCAGGGCTGAGCCAGATGCTCTAGTGTTGCGTGTCCCTAAAGGAAGAAAAGCGGTCTCCCCCACCCCGCTCCTCCCCGAAGGAAAGGAGCAAGGAGAGACCACTGAAGAGCAGTTTATTTGCTCCTAAAGTGCGTGTCTATGTTTTCAGAAGAGGGTTTTTACATGGATTATTAAAAACACTGCTTACCGGGACACCTTAATCTCTAGAAGAGGCAGGCCTTAATTTATAGTCTGTGAATACTCGATATAGAGCAAAACATTAGATAATTAGAGAATTTCTTTTTTGAAAATAACTCCTAGTACAAGTATGCTTGTTTAGTTAATTGGTCTTATTTGTTAGAAACAAAATAATTCTAATTGCCAAAAATGAATTTGTATGTTCAGATGTTCATATAAGAAAAACTGTGTTGGTTGCCCCACAGCTAAAACTCTTAACTCATGTGGCATTTTTTTATTTCGTGTCGGCTCTTCTCTAGAAAACGGATTTTTCCTACCAGCCTGGAGATGCCTTCAATGTGATCTGTCCCAACAGCGACTCTGAAGTACAGTTCCTGCTGCAGAGACTGCAGCTTGCAGACAGGAGAGAGCACCGTGTCGCCGTGATGATCAAGGCAGACACGAGGAAGAAAGGTGCAGGCCTTATGTCTTCCTGCTCTGGACGTCTTTGGGGGGACAGGGGTGGCAGCACGGGTCTGCACAGGTGCCTGAGGGCTGGCCTTGGTCTTGGGTGGGAGTCCTTAGCATCCACAGCGGGTGCCCTGGGTGAGTCAGTTACCCTGAATGAGATGGCGATAGAGTTCATGCTTATTGGATGCTTATAGACATTAAAAATGAAGCTGAAGAATCAGCCTTTCCAGAACTCTAGATATTAGCAAGCTTACAGCAAACTGGGAAACACAAAGATGAATATAACTATGGTTTCAGAGAAGCAGGTTGGTTAGTTGAGCCAGTTGTTTTTTTTCAATCAGCATTGCTTTTTTTCTAAGTTTGCACACTAGAGTTGTCATGGAGAAAAACTATATTATATGAATCTGTTTTAAAAACTGCTTTTTGCTGTGAGTTCCCTGGTGGTTAGGACTCTGGGCTTTCAATTCTGGGGCCCAGGTTTAATTCCTGGTGGGAGAACATCCCACAAACTGCACTATGTGGCCAAAAAATAAAAAAGGTAGTTTTATGTTTGTGTCCCATGGCGTATTTGTTATTGCTTATTTAATACATGAAAGTAATTGCTTTTTCCATGATTAAAGAAAATTATTTTACAGCGATTTGCTTAGAATCTGAAACTAGAGCTCAGGCAGCTCTGAAATTCTTTCTGAGGACAACAGGCAGTGTTGTGGGACCACTGCCGTCTTTTGGAGGGGCTTCCCCGATATCTCACTTGGTAAAGAATCCACCTGCAATGCAGAAGACCCCAGTTTGATTCCTGGGCTTTTTGTCCCTTGGTTTTAGATAATTTCCCTTCCTTTTGTTTAGTAAACCTAGATTTGGTAGGTATAGCTGATACAGTAATGCTGTTGAATTAGTGAAATTGTTTTTGTAAAGTGCATTTTTCTTTCACATTCTTTGTGAGGAAATCTTTTGACTGAATAAATGTCATGTTGTACTTTGATAGCACTATAATGTAAAGGATTACAGCTGTTAGTAGTGTGTTTCTCGGGGTTGGAAACATCTTTATTTTCTGTGTCGTGAGCTCTTCCCCATCTACCTGGACAGGCGCAGCCTTGCCGGAACACGTACCTGAGAGGTGTTCTCTCCACTTCCTTCTCACCTGGTGCCTCGAAATACGAGCCGTTCCCAAGAAGGTATTGTTTTATAAGTTCTTTTGGTATCTACTTAAAAATATACTTATCTTTCTATAGTTTATTAAATCATTTGAAGGCTTAGAAAATGTGGTCTTCACAGCCTGTGTTCAGAATAGTTCCCAAGGCATGCTGTGTCTCTGTGATGTCATGGACAAATATTTTTAAATTGCTCTTAAATTGAAATGTTATGTTTTCTTTTGAAACAAGAATTTCAAGTAGGGCTTTTCCTTAATCTTATTTTACTAGACGTTAACTTGATGTTGCGCGGTAACCAGTGATGAAAGTGGCCCTTGATGATATGGGTTTTCCAGCTGCGCACGGACACTTCTTCCCTAACTGACGGGAGGCTAGGGGTTTCCCTCGCCTATCCCTCATTTAAGGTTGGGAAGACCCCTTTTGTGTGAAAGTCTGCAGTTGATTTATGTCGGAATTCTTCAGGGCGCAGCGCAGGGTTTCCTGGGTCATGCTGACGCGAGACGGGCTTGGAGGTGAAGATCCTCTAGGTGTCAGTATTGTGCTGCTGTTAGGACTGTTTTTCTAGCCCTGTTCCTCCAATGGATGTTAGTGGGTGAACTTTCCACGCTGTTTTACCAAACTTGTATTGTGAATGAGCAGAAACAATACTATTATTATATTACACTGTCCACACTGCAGTGTTCATCTTCTGTTTTATTAACGTGTTGACTGCATTTGTAGTTCTTCAGGAAGTGAACTCAATGGAAAGGCTTAATCCTGGGTATAATTTGAGTAAATTTACAATGCACTGTGATGAAAATTTCCTGCATAATTTCACAATTTTAGTTCAACTCTACCATTTCTGAAAACTTCACAATGTATATATTTAAAAATGTATTTTCATTTACTGCAAAAGCAGTATGCTCGTAAAAAGTCTGGACACAAAAGTAATTCACGAAGCAAAAGTGCTTTTTAACTAGCCCCCTGCAGTTAATAGGGCTTCCCTTGGTGGCTCAGAGAATAGAGAATCTGCCTGCAAAGCAGGAGATCTGGGTTCAGTCCCTGGGTTGGGGAGATCCCCTGGAGAAAGAAATGGCAACGCACTGCAGTTCTTGCCTGGAGAGCCCCAAGGACAGAGGAACCTGGTGGGCTCTGGTCCATGGGTTGTAAAGAGTCAGACACGACTGAGCCACTGTCACACTGCAGTTCACATTTGAGTCTCTGCTGCTAGTATATATGCTATTCTGTAACATGCCTTTTTTAATTAAAAAGAAATCATGAGTTTGCATATCCCAACATGGAAACATACTGGAGATCTTATTAAAAGATGCTGTAATTGTTGATTTGATTAACGACAGTCCATTGTTTCCAGTTTTTCACTATTAAAAATTCATTTAGGTCAACCTTCTGTTTGCATCTGTATGCACCTGTCTACATTTTTTTTTTAAATAAATTGCTTGGAGTACAATTACTGTGTTAAAAATATTTAGAATTTAAGTTTTAGTAATGTTTGTCAACTTGTTTTCTACATAATACAGTATTTCCTATATTAGTCCTGTGAAGTTTCTGTTAGCTAAAGTGAGAAATATGCTACTGCTTTAGCCTGTAACTTGGGAAGGTTTATTGACTTGAGAAAGTTTGGCTGGAAGTGTTCTTGGTAAGCTCCTGCGCTCCTGTAGCTGGTGGGTCTCTGGGTAGGTTCGGCAGGGATTCTTGGCTAGTCAGTGGAAACCTGAGGCCCCACGGGAATGTGATCTCATCGTCCCTGTCAAGGGCGTCTGGGCCTGCGGGATGCAGGGGCCATGGATGTAGTGGTGTCCACTCCCGTTTCAGGTAGCGTTGTTGCTCCCACTCTCCTGTGAAGCCTTTTGGGCAAGTTAGGTGTCCTCTTGTACCCAGTGCCTGTCAGAAAAAGCTCTTAATGGCTTTTAATGGCTCTTAATGTCGAAATCCGGGTTGTAGTCATCAGCTAAGGCAGGAACAGGTATTGTGTCCTGAGATAAAAACGTGTGGTTAACGAGGGACTTCCTTCGTGGTCTGGTGGCTAAGACCCTGGGCTCCCAATGCAGGGGCCCTGGGTTTGATCCCTAGTCAGGGAGCTAGATCTCACATGCCAGGGAACTAGATGCTACATAAATAAATACTAAAAAAAAAAAAGTTTGCTTGGGTGACTTGACTGCCTGCTTACTCACATAGACCTACTGTGTAACTTGAGACTGTGCTTATGACTGATTAGGTCAGTTTAAGATACAGGGAAGGTGACCAAAAAATAAAAGTGGGTCTTCCCACTTCGATAGGCTGCCTGCCATCAGAGCAAATACGAAACGAAATGCTCTTTTCCCGGCCACACTCCTGGTGGCCACACTCCCTTTTTCTTAAAGATTGGGCACATCCCAGGTGGACACCACCCCCGCGTTCTGATGCTGCGACCGCAGAGCACGTGGTGACTTGTTGGCTTCTTGGCCACAGGCGTTCCTGCGAGCCCTCGCGGACCACACCGGCGACAGCGCCGAGAGGCGGCGGCTGCAGGAGCTGTGCAGCCGGCAGGGGGCGGCCGACTACGCCCGCTTCGTCAGGGACGCCGGCGCCTGCCTGTCCGACCTGCTGCGGGCCTTCCCGTCCTGCCAGCCTCCACTCGGCCTCCTGCTCGGTGAGTGGCCGCCGTCACAGCCCCGCTCCCCGGGGCAGCCCTTCTGTGCTGAGGGCACCTCGAGTTCCCGCAGGCCTGTGGGGGCGCGTCTCCATGACTGGCCGGTAAGCAAGCGTCTCACAGCTGGGCTTCCCGGGGCCTTAGCAGCTGAACTTCCTTCCTGAGGTCAGAGAATCTCTCTCTCGGTTTTTTTTCCCCGCTTTTTCAGTTTTCTTTCCTGCCATTGTCACTGTCATTTTTCTCTCAATATTGTTGTCATTCAGTCGCTAAGAGGTGTCTGACTTTTTGCAACCCCATGGACTGTAGCACACCAGGCTTCCCCATCCTTCACTGTCTGCTGGAGTTTGTTTAGATTCATGTCCGTTGACTCAGTGACGCCATCCAACCGTCTCACCCTCTGTTGTCCCCTTCTCCTTCTGCTCTCAATCTTTCCCAGCAGCAGGGTCTTTTTCTGTATTAATAGAATCAGTTGTAATTCTCTTTTTTCACTCAGCCTTCAGCCTCGAGTATGTTTTTCAGAAAGCTCTTGGCCAAATTTTCTCTAAAAATGAGCTTTCCAAGAGAAGGATCTTTTTCAAAGATAGTGGTAATTGACGGAGTGTGATGAAGTGTGCGCTCTGTGAGCAGGGTTCAGAAATGCCCCACCTGGGCAGGTCCAGATTTTGGTTCTTTAAGAGCCCGAGGGTCTCCTCGTGCTGGCCCAGCGTAAGCAAGTGTCCTTACTCAGGGTGCCTCTGAGTGTGGACTTGGGGGGATAGGCATCCAGATGGAAGGTCACCCTGGTCTTCTGGTTCAGAAGAGAGTTTCAGATCTTCCGTAAGGACCTGGTGTCCGGACTTGGAGACGTTTACCAGGGACGGTGACTGTAAGCATTTATGGGATTTTAAAACCTTTGTTATTTAATACTTTTCTATGCTTGTACTTTTGTCATCTCCTGTCTGTTTTCCTAGAGTGATAAATAGTGACAGGAAAACGTGTACTGTATTTTGCACTGTTAGGCCGGCAAGGTCCCTTCTGATGCCAAGTATGGTTAAGGGCCCTCCTTTATAAGTCAGGCCCTGCTTGCTTTCCCTCTTTACTTTTTAATGTTCTCTGTCCTCCAAGTGGTAAGGCTGCTCTTCCCATTTTCCTGTTCAAATGAACACTCTTACCCTCTTTCTTTTGAGCTAATGGTTCTGTTCAGTCGCTCAGTTGTATCCAACTCTTTGCGACCCCATGGACTGCAGCATGCCAGGCCTCCCTGTCCATCGCCAACTCACGGAGTTTACCCAAACTCATGTCCATTGAGACAGTGATGCCATCCAACCATCTCGTCTTCTGTCATCCCCTTCTCCTGCCCTCAATCTTTCCCAGCATCAGGGTCTTTTTTAATGAGTCGGCTCTTCGCATCAGGTAACCAAAGTACTGAAGCTTCAGCTTAGAAACTTTAGAAGTTTATATAATTGAGACTTATAGAAACTTCAATTATTTCCTAATTGCTGTGAGAAAATACACCTAAGGATTAGCATTGAGCCCTCTTTTAAACCTTATTCTGACATTGCAACTGTAAGACATTTCAGAAAGGGCTTTCCAAATTTTTGCTAAATAGCTATTAAAATGATAACATACTGAACACAAAAATTTCCAGAGTTTATTAGTGGACAATTCAAATATTGACTCTTAGTCTCCTTTTGAAAGAGCACCTGTGTACCTTGAGACCACTGGATTTCTGGGTTACTTGATTTAAGAGTGTCCACCGTTACACTCTGGTTTTTTGTTATAACCCTATAAATATAAGAAAGGAAAAATATTTTCAGCCTAAGTATTTTCCACAGTCTAACCGTCTTTGGGTCACAGTTGTATTTCAAGTCTGAAAACTCTGGAGACACCCCAGAAAACAATATAATTGGTTCCTTGACTCTGAGGCCCATTTGTGGACCTTACTCCTGTTTGCTGTTTTAAAAAAACCAAACACCCTTTAGGTAGAAATACTGGCTTCACATTAAGGAAACGGATTCTGTTTGGTCTTTAAGATTTGCTTGTAATATCTAGTAATGGTCTGCTTACTCACTGTGAATGTGTAGGTACTTAAAAGTATGATGAAAACTGAAACAGAAGTTGTTTTGAATGTTCTAAATAAGAGAAAACTTAGAAGTCAGACCTTTACATATAGTTTACATGTATACACATACTTTATTTTCAGTAGGAGTGAATTAATAGTTACCTGTTTTTGCTTTTTTCTAGAACATCTTCCTAAGCTCCAACCCAGACCGTACTCGTGTGCAAGGTACTGATCCTTATTAACACACAGCGTCTTTCTCCTAAAATACAGTGAAACTCCAACTTTCAAATCCTTGCTAGCTACAGGTCCATTTACTGAAAACTTACCAGACTTGTGGAAGATGGTAGCAGACATGATAAGAAGTGAAGAAAACCAGGCTTGGACTCCTGTTCCCCCAGAGTTCATAGGGCGTGGCATCTTCCATCGCTCTTACGGTCCAGAACCATTTCCCCGCTTAGCGAGTCTCCGAGTCCTCCCCCTGCGACCTTTATTGGTGTGCCTTGCCACCTGGTTGGGGGTGGAGGAGGAAGGGGAGAGGGAGGGGTTCTGTATAAATCTTATCTAGTCTTGGGGGCACACAGGTAACCAGAAAGTGTCCTGAGTGATATCAGGACGCTGGGGGCAGGGCGGCTTTGCAGTAAGCAGCAGAGCTGTTCTCTGACGGGAGAGAAAGTGACTAGTGCCCACTCGGAAATACCCCTCAGTGCAGTTAAAAAAAAACACCTGTATGTGTTAGTCCTGATGCAAAGTTTAAAAACTTGCCTCTCTGTCTTTGCAGCTCAAGTCTGTTTCACCCAGGGAAGCTTCATTTCATTTTTAACATTGTGGAGTTTTTGTCTAACACCACGGAGGTGGTTCTTCGGAGAGGCGTGTGCACAGGCTGGCTGGCCACCTTGGTTGAATCAATTCTTCAGCCATACACGTGTGCAAACCATGCAGATGGCAAGAAAGCCCTGGCTCCCAAGGTACGAGGAGTATGCAGTTTTGGTGACATTGAAAGCATTCATTGCTAGTTGGAAAAATGTGCCCTGCCTTTTTCGTTACCAACAAACCATTCAAAGGAAACTCTATGCCACGCTTGAGCTTTAGTCTTTTGGAAAGTCAGGAGAACATAATTTTCACTCAGTATTATAAGTCCATGTGTTTCCTCAGTGTGTAAAGTATGAATTGTATACAGTACAGTCTTTGCTCCTTCCTCGTCACGTTCGTAAACAGAAGACCTTTTGTATTTTATGTTTTGATTCACACTTGTCAAAATCTCATTTGAGACCGTATGCAAAGGGAATAATTGCATTCTTCCTCCTCACCCATAAGAATGGTTGAAATCGAAAAAAAAGTTGAGGTTTTATCATGAAGTCTTTTCCATGGTTTTGAAAAACAAGACATTTGTAATGTCTTATTCCTGGTTTGGTTGCTCTAAGTTACTGAAGTTAAAAAGTTGACAGCCCTTGGGGTAATTAAGACTTCTGATATATACTTGAGAGAGCTTATGAGAAGACTAGGGCTTAAGATTGCCCTTGAATTTGGTATTTTCCCAGTCTGCTGCCTGGAACAGGTGTTTTACCATGTGTATTTCCTTACAGCCACAAAATTTTGAGAACTGAGAAACTTCTCTTTTGAAAAGAAATACTATAGTAATAGTACTGACAAACGAGTATCGTGTCACTTCATGGTCTCATAAAAATAGCAGATGATCTCCAGAAAGTTAAAAATAACATTGAAACACCTGTATTACAAACACCAAGCATGGTGCCTCTCACATAGTCTGTCTTTCTTTCCTCCTATCCTTTTCTCTCTTCTTCCTTCCCCATTTTAACAGATTTTTATTGACTACCCAGTTTTGAGGCCCTTGGAGGTACAGATATATCGAAAGGATATAACTTATAACTACTTAAGTTTCATCTTGCCGTGTAATACTGTATTTTATCCATGATCCATCCACCACACGCTGCCCCCCAGCTGGTAGGTGGTCCTGTGGTTCACAGGTGCCCCGCCCCCAGGGAGTAGACTTCCCCTGCCGCTCCTGCGTGGCCGGGCCATGTGACCAGCCTCGCAGGGAAAGGTGAGCGGACAGGCTTGTGCCAGGTCTCAGCAGGAGCTCTGCGCCCGATGCGGGTGCTGGACCTGCCGCTCTCATCTTCCCCTCTGACCTCAGATGGGCTGACTCAGGTCAGAGATGCTCCTTGGCTTTGGATGCAGGTGGAGGAGGTCGTGGTGCAGAGCTGCCGCCCTGAGCCCAGCCAGGGCGAGCGTCCCGTGAGCAGCAGGAGCCGACTAGTCCTCTCCCGTCTCCTCGCCGTCCCTGGAACATGGAAGTGTGGTCTCTTCAGCAGTCTTATTCTGCTTCATGGGACTTCACTTATTATCTGTCTTTCTGTAGGTGAATGTTTGTTTATTGTCTTTCACACAGTAGGATATGCGTCCCATCGAGATGGATTTGGTTTTGCTCATTTCTCCATCCTAAGTGCTTGTCGTGTTGAACACCTGCAGTAAAATTGTTAAGTGGATGAATCAAGTGAATAAGGCTAATGTAATATCCATCACAGCATCCCTCCAAAACAAAAATAGTCATTTGACGCAACTCTGCCAGTTCTCCATTTAAAAAGTACTGTGTCCATCCTGTTGATGAACTTAAGACAACTTCCCTTGAACTAAAGGCTAAAATGTATACGATTATATCTGTATGCGATATAGGGACGATTCCCGTCGTTCTTGAGTGTTAGTATTACTCAGGATAACTGAAGCATATGGCAAAGTAAACTGAGAGTCACCTATATTAACAAACTGATGCCTTGTCAGTGTCCCTGACACATGGTTTAGAAGAAAACCCTTTTGAAATTGTAGCAGAAGGATTTTGTTTATCTGTATCTCATTTATTAGCCTAGCTTTGCAGCACACGCTGGGCCCACGTTGGACCCGCGGGAGCAGAGGTGGTGCAGTGCTCTGGCACCCTTCAGGCAGGCCCTTCATTTCTCTTTGGCTTGTGCCTAATTTCCGCTTAAACCCTTCACCCCATCTTGGCGTTCGTCTGCATTGCCCCTTCATGTCCTGATGTGAAGGACCATGTCTTCACTTTGTGTGTGCATTTCTTCATGATACATTCGATGGGTTGCCCACTAGGACACAGGTCTTTTTCTTTGGGCCTAGAAAAATAACTCATTATTTATTTATTTATTTATTTATTTATTCAGTGTTCTACCTTGGAAATAGCCCTGTCATTGTAAAAATACTTTTGATTTAGAAAGAAAAGAATTTGCAAGACAGACTTATTTATTTCTCTGCTTTGACAAATGTGTTTGTGGTTTCAGTGAGATTTAATGCTGCTGCTTAATTTTGTGATGCTTCTAAGGGGAAGGGGAAGTGATGAAATTAAGGGGAAGTTCTACTTTCTGATTTCCTTGGCAGACATCTCCTTGGTTATATGCTTTTGTTCAAGTTTTTTTTTTTCCCCCCAAACTTATGAGCACTGGCTTAATGTTTCAGATATCCATCTCTCCTCGAACAACAAACTCTTTCCACTTACCAAATGACCCTTCAGTCCCCATCATAATGGTGGGTCCAGGAGCGGGTGTGGCCCCCTTCATTGGTTTCCTGCAACACAGGTATGTGTCGCTGGTGGACCTGGCTGGGAGTATAATAGAGCATTTTTTTGGTTTCTTCTGAGGTTTTTAGGATATTGGGATTCAGTTGTAAAATTTTTATTTTAAAAAATTATTAAGAAATGTGTGATAGCATAGCATAACTTGTCACTGTGGGAAAAGTGAATATATTGTCTAGAGATTTATGTGCTGGAACTTCTGTTTTTACTGTAGTATTTATTCCCCCACCGCCCAGCCCTGGACTGTAGATGATAGCGCATGTGTTGGGGACAGGTTTCAAGCACATCTTGATGCTGTGCTGATGTGCAGCTGCCCCATCTGTGCCTTTGTTGTTCAGTTGCTCAGTCATGTCCCATTCTTTGCAACCCCATAGACTGCAGCAGTCAAGGCTTCCCTGTCCTTTACTATCTCCTGGAGCTTGCTCAAACTCATGTCTGTTGTGTCAGTGATGCCATCCAACCATCTCATCGTCTGTCATCCCCTTCTCCTACCTTCAACCTTTCCTAGTATCCATCTGCTCTTTAACTGGGTCGTCACAAAGACCCAATTACAAAGACCCAGCATTTCAAAATCAAATTCCTAACACCAGTAATTTTCGACAGAATATTAATTCATGTATCTTCATATCAGGGCATAATTATTTGATACAAATAAAATTGTGCTTCTCTCCCTGTGTGTGAAATAGCAATTCTTACATAATGCTCCCCGGGTAGTGTAGTAATATCTTTCAGACAAAATCTTTGTGTAGTTTTTTTGTTGTTGTTAAGAAAACAAAACAATGGGACACGTCGATCACGTCTGAAAATTGCACAGCAGAGTGTTGTACCTTTTCGAGCCCTCTGCCACTTCTCTCTTACGCTAACTGAGAGCTTTTAGTCATAAGATTGTTGCTAGTATTTAGTGTAGAAAGTAGTCTAGGTTTCACAGTGTGGTCATTCGAATTACCCCTGCTCTGGAGATGTCATATAAAGGTCATAGATGTCTCAGCCCAGAGGTAAGCTTACTTTCCCTAGTGTCCGCTGGAGTGGCCAACTTATCCTGTGGACGATGAAGTATAAATTCAGCAAACGGACTTTGAGTGACTGCAGAGTTGGGTTTTATAGACCTACCTGGAGAGGCAAAAAATAAAGAGAGATTTTGTTACCTATTCTTTCTATCAGACCTCAGCTTTCTTTTCCCCTTAGAGAGAAGCTCCAGGAGCGACACCCAGGGGGCCGCTTTGGAGCCACGTGGCTGTTCTTCGGCTGCAGACACAAGGAGAGGGATTATTTGTTCAGGTACTTGACAGCCCTTGTGTTGTTGTAAGGCTCCGCCATGCTCTACAGTTGGCATCTCAGACTTCTCCAACTGTAAATTACAAATCTTCCACTGACCTGTTACGTATCATGTTTCAGAGATGAGCTCAGACACTTCCTTAAGTGTGGAGTGCTCACTCACTTGGAAGTCTCCTTCTCAAGAGATGCTGCTGTGGGGGAGGAGGAAGGCCCAGCCAAGTATGTGCAAGACAGCCTCCAGCATCACAGCAAGCAGGTGGCGGGGGTCCTCCTCCAGGAGAGCGGTTACATTTATGTGTGTGGGTGAGTGCAGGGGGCTGGGGACGGTCGGTGGTGTTCATTCATTTATGTGTGTGGGTGAGTGCAGGGGGCTGGGGACAGTCGGTGGTGTTCACTGAAGAAACCAGGGGCCCATTGGTTAACAGTCCGGGCCTGTACGGGTGGGACATCTGATTCTCAAGTACAGGAATAGAAATACAAGTTCTAAAGCTATTTTTACATACCCTCGCTAGCCAGGAAGTTGTTATTAGGAAAACAAAGTGAAAATTAACTCATGCAGCACTCCTTGGGTCCAGTGGTTAAGACCGTACTTTCACTGCAGGGGGCATAGGTTCAGTCCCTGGTTGGGAAACTAAGATCCCAAAGGAAAATTAACTCGTATGTTGCGAACTGCTCTGTGCCATTTTAAATTAGGTTTCTGTGTTTGTTTTTGCTATATGTAATTCATTGTTCAATTGATTTTGATCAGTGAATACTAAATGTGTGATTTGTGCAGTTGACCTAGGAAAACAGCTTTGGTTTTGACTGAAAATGGCTTCCCTCATAGCTCAGTTGGTAAAGAATCCGCCTGCAATGCAGGAGACCCTCGTTTGATTTCTGGGTCAGGAAGATCCGCTGGAGATGGGATAGGCCACCCACTCCAGTATACTTGGGCTTCCCTTGTGACTCAGCTGGTAATTAATTTGCCTGCAAGGCGGGAGACCTGGGTTCGATTCCTAGGCTGGGAAGATCCCCTGGAGAAGGGAAAAGCTACCCACTCCAGTATTCTGGCCTGGAGAATTCCATGGACTGTGTAGTTCATGGGGTTGCCAAAGAGTTGGACATGACTAAGCGACTTTCACTTTCACTTTTTACTGAGAATGTGAATTTAGGATTTTTTTCTTAAGACATAATTTGTAATGTCAAAGTTGACATAAGCCAGGAGTCATTCTTATGTTTCATCTACTTTTTGAGACAAGATCCATTGTAGAAACCCAAGATTGCCATAGGGAAAAAAAATTTAGGAACTAGCTACTTGTTTTAATGGAACTCAAAATGTTTGCTAATTAAAAAGGAGTTTTGAAATGAGAAGCTACACTTTTTTTTTTTTTTTTTAATCCTAGCACGTCCCTGCCTGGTGTTTAAAACATTCTGTTAAGTTATCAGGTTGAGTTTTTTGTTTTTTATTTCTAAAACTGACACAGAAAAAGAAATACTGGCATAATGACCTGGAGTACGTATAAATATAATTGAAAAGGTTTATAAAACAGATCTTACTTTTTGGACTTACTCTCTGTGACACATTCTGATGACGTCTGTTTGTTCGTTGTATCATTTTTAAAGAAAGCTAACTGGCTCCTAAGTTGATTTCATGACCTATTAATGACTCCTCAGCTAGAAGAAGTTGCTTTAGGTCAGAAAGGACCGAGCTCCTGGATGTCGTGTTGGTTTATGTTTTCATGTAGCTTGTAGTGAAGTATTTTGTCTTCCTTTTGTTTGCAGACGACAGTGCTGTCAGATTTAGGCTGAAGTTTTAAATGCGGCTCTAAAATAATGGGGGCAAAGTCCGTGTACAAACAAACATGTACTAGTATATGAATAACTGGTACTTGAGAACTTAAAATGTTAGCCCAGAAGTAACCCTTCACCATCACTGCTGCTCCATTCTTTCACCTCCGGGAAGTGAGGTTGATAGCACTCATAGCCGGTCTGAGGTGAGGCTCAGAGTGAACCCCCCTTGGCCTCTAGTGTGGACCAAACAAAGGGACCTTGAGCAGGACAGCCACCGGGGAAGGCGCGAGCTTGTCCCTCAGGCCAGGGGACACTGTCTCAAGGGGGAGCCTTTGCTGCTGAGAGCCAAGTAAGAAGACAACGCAGGGCACAGGCGATGTGGCAGCTGGAGCCCCGGCTGTGAGGAGAGGCTGGGGGTGGCCTTGAGGTGCTCCTGGCGTGCTTGGGGGGAGCAGGAGGAGGACGTTGGGGCGGCCGTTAGGGCTTTCTCAAGGAATCTCGCTGGAAGGGGAAGGGCGAGTTCAGCTCCCAGCACAGTGGAGTCTGTCCGACAGTTACTCATGCCGCAGACGTCGCAGTGCCTGCCGAGTGCTTCTGCCCGTGCAGATGTCTGGAGAGGGGAGGTGAGCGAGGTGCTCTCCACCCCAGCCGCCCGCTTCCCGTGGGAGAGCTGGGGCAGCGGTGCTCACGGCGCAGCGGGTGCTGCGTGGGTCCTCGCCCGGCCTGCAGTGAAAGAGCTGGGCTGTGGAAATGCACCAGGAAGGGGCAGCCCTCAGCAGGCTTTCAGCGATACACCTGTTAATAACTGTGCGCCCATGTGCCCGCCGGGTATGAAGGCTTAGACGTGTCTGGGGAGCTCCTTGCCCCCAGGAAGGCCTTGAGAGAGGAGGGAGGGCAGAGACGAAGAGGGCCCGGTGCGCGGGGTCCTCAGGCTCTTCAAGATTCCGGCTGCTCCTGGAGCACAGGGCCCGCTGAAGGGTTTAAAGCTGTGGATGGGGTGGTCAGCACTGCATGTGCCGGTGGTCCCTGGGCCAAGGCCTGGCCTTGGGCGCGGGGGTGTGGTGGTGACCAGTGCCTGGAGACCTGAGGGTCACTTTCCAGAGAGATGGAGGGGGGGCTGCAGTGTGGGGACGCAGGCCCGGCCTGAGATGCATGGATGCAGGAGGACTTAGTGCACAGTTCCTGTTCTTAAACAGAACGCTGTTACTCTTTTTTTTCTAGGGATGCTAAGAATATGGCCAAGGATGTCCACGATGCCCTTGTGGAAATAATAAGCAGAGAGACTGGAGTTGAAAAACTAGAGGCAATGAAAACATTGGCCACTTTAAAAGAAGAAAAGCGGTATCTTCAGGATATTTGGTGATAAACCTGGAAAGTAAAAGAAGAGAATTAAGCTTTTTTTTGGCGGAAAGTACTAACATAAAACTTGACTTGAAGCTTGGGACTTTCAATGTTTAAATTAAAAAAAAAAAATTTTTTTTTTCCAATGTTTCTTGGAGGAGATGGAGTGGGGCATGGACTGTTTTAACCATACAGGAAACTTTCAATTCAGCTTTCCATACCTCCCCCACTCACCCCTCCCCAAACCACCCTCAGCAGAAAGGCAGCCCTGACTCCTCCACCAGCATCTCCCGGGCCACCTCTATGCCCTGGAGAATTTTTGCAGGGACGTTGAACAGCGCACTGGGCATCTCTGTCAGTGCGTGTGAAGGCTTCTCAGCACAGGATGTGAGCTTGGGAGCCAACGCGGTAGGTGGTCAGGTCTTGTGAACTTGTTGCTGGTTTTTTTAATAATCTAAAATTAATTTATATTTTATATGAAATATACCATAAAGAGTATTCATAAGAGTGTATTAAAATTACATATGTATAGTAAATCTGATTACATGTTTACATATAATTTTATCAGATGGTTTATTACCGAAACTATATTTCTGATAAAAATATTTTAAGGTAATGCTTACAGTGATTCTTTTCATGATGCTAGAAATATAAGCTATATTTTGAAATTCCACTCTGGCATATGATTTACTTAGCATGGTTATTTCTTCTTAATATCACAGTTCGAGAATTTAAAGAAATTTGCATTCAGATTATAGATCCATTTCCCATCTTTTGATTTCTGCCCCTTTTGGTGTACTTTTAAATTTTCCCACATAATTTATTGTTATTTCTGTGATTGTAACCTGGGCTTAAAATACCTACTTAATACCCTTGTATTTCATAAATTCCTACTATTGTCTGAATATTTATGTCCCCCAGCTTCCACCCTGCCCCCCAATTCATATGTTTGAATCCTCACCTCTGACATGATGGTACTAGGAGCTGGGCCTTTGTGGGGTGACAAGGTCATGATGGTGGAGCTCTTAGGAATGGGATCAGTGCCCTTGTTTCAAGACGCCCCACAGGGCTCCCTGCTCTTCCTGCCCTGTGAAGAAGACACAGTGTGAAGTTGGCATCTGCAACCCTGAGGCCTTCACCAGAACCCAACAACACTGGCACCTGGTCTGAACTTCTGGCTTGCAGAACTGTGAAAGATTTCTGTTGTTTATAAGCTACTCAGTGAGATCTTGTTACAGCAGCTCAATTGGACTACTGGACTAAGACAATTCCCACTGACCCATTCTCTTTTAGTATTTGTCAGAACAGAAAACAAAGTATAAAAGGGGCATGGAAATTTTTTCTCCTAGTCTCTGGTATATATTATTTTTTTAATTAAAGAGATTGGCATTAAAAAAATCTCTACCTGTCAAAGGGTTCTGGTCATTTTGAAAAATAAATATCTAAAATAATACTGTGTATAATCTTAACATTTGTTAAGACTTCAAAGCAGTTTGTTATAACCTCTAATCTTATATATTTCATGTCTTTTACAATAGAAATACTTCTGGAAAAACTTACAAGGCATAAGAAAACATATCAAGCAAAATTATGTGCATATGTTATACGTTAGCCAGAATAGACTTGAGGTGAAAACACGAAAAGGGACAAAGAACAGTATTCCTTGTTGATCATCCTAACGAGAAAATACAGCTAAGAACTTGTGTCCCTCTACCAGCGCTGCCCGTCCATATTGCTGTGTCAGTTGCTCAGTCATGTCCAACTCATTGTGACCCCATGGACTGTAGGATGCCAGGGTCCTCTGTCCATGAAATTATCCAGGCAACAGTACTGGAATGGGTTGCCATTCCCTTCTCTAAGGGATCTTCCCAACCCAGGAATCAAAGCTGGGTCTCCTGCAGTGAAGGCAGATTCTTTACTGTGAGCCACTGGGGAAGCCAAAACTGACAGATCCCAAAAGAGAAACTGAGGCGCGTTCATAGTGGCTTCAGGTCCTGACCTGAGTCCTGTGGTTTGTGCCCAACATCCGGGTTATTTCTGTTAGGTTGTGAGTTATCAGGTTCAGACTAGAGTTAATCAGCTGCTCCCTCACAGCCTTGCAGCAGATGAGGGTAAAACTAGATCCCAGGCCATGTTCTGCAGCAAACGCAGCTGTTGAACAGTTTTATTTATTTATTAGCAGTTAGGCACAATGTTTCCTACAGCCAGGCCTGTAAGCTCAACGAAGTTCCAGCACTGTCTCTCTAGGTGGTCCAGTCACATCCTGCATAAAAAGTTTCACATCAAGGTGGTTGTGAGATTCACAAGGGCAGACTTTGGTTCCTCTCAGCATCGTGAGCTGCATCACCCCGCCTCCTTCCGAGTGGCTGGACACAGTGCTGTTTTGGGGTTACGCCTCAGGCACTACCCCAAGAGTCTTGCTAGAAAAATCTTTTTTGACCTTGTTTGTGTAGAAGTGGGGAGTACCTCTGAATTAATGTAGTCAAACTCCATCATATCTTAGTACACTAGGTATTCAGTAAGAGCCCCTTTCTAACCTTAGTTATTGTAAGAAGCTACCGTTGGACCCATTATTTTCGGTAGCATAAGGCTGATCAGTGATGAAATTAGTAGAAGAGCTTGAGGTAGCCATCAGCTGTATGGTTTTCCTCATTAGAATGCTGACTGCACCTGGAGGGTTCTTACTCTCTGTAACACACCTAGGTATCTGTGCTGGAGTATAAACTGAATTCCAGACACCGTAATACTGGAACATAATCTACTTAGTCATAAACTGTCAGATTAAAAAATGTGGGAATGTGAACTTCACAGCCAGCAAACTAGATGGCGTGTGAGTCGCATCCAGGCACCCACACTGGTTTCAGATGCTTGAGACAGTTTTAAAATTGACCATGAACTAGGCCATAAAGGGAGACAGCAGATGGTGTGAAATAAGGCATTGTTCTCTGGTCCTGACAGAATTAAGAAGCAACTATAATCAGCCCACTGAGGCTGCACTGAAGAATTTTTAAACCCATGCAAATGACTTGTGGCGTAGGAAATGAAAATGGATTACAGAATATTTAGGACTGATTTCTTCCAAAGTGCTAAACATACACATGAGTTGCAGCCAAAGCAATACCCAGAAGGAAATTTCATCCATTTCACAGGTATTTTCAGTGCCTCCTTTGCCAGGTACTGAAGTACTGTGGCAACAGCAGTGAACAAAGTTGATAAAAAGCCTCTGTTCTCAGAACTTGCATTCTTACTGAGGAGAGCCATAAATGAATGAATAAATATCAATTATGATGTGTGAGAAAATAATAAAGCTTGTGGGAAGAGGAACTAAAGAGTCTCCTGTTGAGAATGAAAGAGAAGAATGAAAAAACTGGCTTATAGAGCCTCTGAGTTCCCTGAGACACACAGCAAGTTCCCATTGGCTGTCTATCTTACGAATGGTAATGTAAGTTGCCGTGGTACTCTCTCCATACATCTCACCCTCTCCTCCCCTCTCCCCGTGTCCATAAGTCTGTTCTCTATGTCTGTTTCTCCATTGCTGCCTTGCAAATAAATCAACCTAGACGGGTGGGATGGAGAGGGAGATGGAGGGAGATTCAAGAAGGAGGGGACATATGTACACCTATGGCCGATTCATGTTGATGTTTGACAGAAAACAACAAAGTTCTGTAAAGCAATTATCCTTCAATTAAAAAACAAAAAGGTGGCTTAAAACTATATATTCAAAAAACTAAGATCATGGCATCTGGTCCCATCACTTCATGGCAAATAGATGGGGAAAAGTGGAAGCAGTGACGCGATTTTATTTTCTTGGGCTCCAAAATCATTGCAGACACTTGCTCCCTGAAAGGCAAACTATGACAAATGTAGCATATTAAAAAGCAGAGACGTCACTTTGCCGACAAAGGTCTGTATAGTCAAAGCTATGGTTTTTCCAGTAGTCATGTGCGGATGTGAGAGGTGGACCATAAAGAAGGCTAAGCACCAAAGAATTGATGCTTTTGAACAGTGATGCTGGAGAAGACTCTCGAGAGTCCCTTGGACAGCAAGGAGATCAAACCAGTCAATCCTGAAGGAAACCAATTCTGAATATTCATTGGAAGGACTGATGCTGAAGCTGAAGCTCCAATACGTTGGCCACCTGATGGGAAGAGCCATCTCATTCGCAAAGACCCTGATGCTGGAAAAGCTTAAGGGCAGGAGGAGAAGAGAGCAACAGGGGAGGAGATGGTTAGATGGCATCATTGAGTCAGTGGACATGAGCTTGAGCAAAATCCGGGAGATAGTGAAGGACAGGGGAGTCTGGTGTGCTGCGGTCCGTGGAGTCAGAGTTTGACATGACTGAAGAACTGAATAACAACAAAATAACATGGAAACGAAAGAGAGTATAGTTTAGTTAGTGTAAAAGGAGGCTTCAAGAGGGCTTCTGTGGTGGCCCCACAGTAAAGCATCTGCCTGCCAGTGCCAGAGACTCCAGTTCAATCTGACCTGGGAAGACCCCACACACCCTGGGGGAGCAGCCCATGTGCCACAACTGCCAAGCCTGTGCTCTAGAGTCTGGGAGCCGCAACAAGAGAGTCACAGCAATGAGAAGCCCGTGCCCTGCTAGGGAGTAGCCGCCACTCACCACAGCAAGGCTTCCTGATAGCTTGGTTGGTAAAGGATCCGCCTGCAATGCGGGAGACCTGGGTTCGATCCCTGGGTCGGGAAGATGCCCTGGAGAAGGGAAAGGCTACCCACTCCAGTGTTCTAGTCTGGAGAATCCCATGGACTGTATAGTCTAGGGACGACTGAGTGACTTTCACTTTCACCACAACCAGACAAAAGCCTGCACAGCAGTGAAGATCCAACACACCCAAACATAAATAAATAAAAATTATTAAAGATAAGGCAGCTTCAAGAAATACTGCAGGAGATGGATATTTTTATAGTGATTAGTCAATTGATGAGAAAGACATGAAAATCCTAAATATGCATGCACTTAGTAAGAAAGCATAAATGTTGTGTTGGCCAGAAAGTTCTTTT